ATTGCAATTTCCACTGCAGATATCTTACCATGTTGAGCTTCAGTATGCTTAAATCAGCTAAAAAGAACTATAACTTGTTATATAAAACCTATATCTGTGCAACAAACCATTTGTCTCAGATGTGCAAATAGCTACATGGCGCAAGGGAACTATCTACTAACCTCCATCCACATTTCTTTAGGATAAGAGTGAAATCTTCTTTTGGATTTGTAAAGGTAACAGTCTCCTTTGTTCTAAAATAATATACCTATAGCTTAACTATAGAAATGGGGTTATGTGTCCCTTTTGGCTGCATTTTACACTGTCCTTTATTTATCAGGTCTAGAAGAAATGTTTAATTCTCCATAGTTATATACTTTACATTTATAGATCACTGAAGAGAATAATGTATAACTACAAACATGAGTACATTTATTCTGATTCAGTACACAAATCTGAGCATGAAGACCAAAAGATACTGTTCATCCTGAAATTACATGGACCTATTGTAATATCACATTCTCCATGGATCTGTAGATGTGAGTAAAGGTAAAATATAGGGGTAAATTACACCTGCACCTGTGCCCAAATCCCAAGATCTGTAATTACAAACCTGGGACCCCAGGAGCTATCTAAGATATCCACTACTGTCTGAGATTTTTCTGTTGACTTATGTGGGTTTGCCAAAGAAAAAAACAGGCCAACTCAGCATAAGTTGTCTTTGCTGGGTTGGCCAATAGTATCCAAAGAAATTAATATGTTATTATGTGTGTTTTATAGTGTATGTATAACCAGAATATCTTAATTTTGAATATAATGTGGAAGAATTAGTACTGTTGTGTATATTGCTGTCTACATTCCTGCTAGAGAAATTTGCCCAATGTACCATTTCTGTTGATCACTGCCTCCATTAGAGATAGTAATGGGAATCAAAACTTTTTGAGTTGTCACAGGAACAGGAGCTGAGAGAAAATCTGTAAATGAAGAAATATGCTGTGGCGACTACTACTACTTAACATCCCTTCCTTTTAGAGAGATTTCCTTTTACGTCCTGAGGTATCTATCACAGGAAGTAAAGTGAAACCTCCCCAATGGTACACAGACACCAAAAAAAAAAAAAAAAAGCACTGACAGGGATCCTAACTAATCCATATGCTATGCCCCCCCCCCCCCCCCCCCCTCAAAAAATGGCTTTGCATGCACTTTATATTTCAAAGGGGTCTGAGCACGTGGCTACTTGCCCCTGGACATACATTTGCTTCAATCACATGTTGAAAAATTAAGTTTCCCCTCCAGGTTCTTAAGGCCCAATGGAAAGTGTGAAATGCTTGCTGAGCACAATACAAGAGAAGTGTTACTATGAAACAGCACATTTCTGGATCTGATTTAAAGAGGTGATGGTAATCAACACCCAGCACACACCATCATCCTTTAGTTATACAACCCTACATTTTACAACTTGCAAACATTTTAGGTAAGTGTAAAAAACTGTTATATCTGTAGATTTGTAAAAAAGGAATGTTATGCTCCTAGAAATAATTATATAAACAAGGTACTGGCACCACCTAAGCTTCTGCCCTATGGTGTGCATGGGCAAAGCCTGTACCTCAAACTTTTGCCGAAGTCCAAAGTCATCTGGGTCATCAGCTATGGGCACATTGTAATACTCGCCTTCTTCTTGGTTCAATAGCTTGTACCTGAGAGAGACATGCGGCAGACAGACAACCAGGACCAAAAAAGGGGGTAACACAGTGAGAAGGTGGCAGAGCAAAGAAATGGTGTGGGAGGTTTGAGTTGATCAGAAATCCATGGATGAGGGATGTTAAAATAATTGAAACCACATAAATAGCATTGTGTGTGATTTTGTGGAAATATATTAAAAACATTTTAAAAAGTCCAAATCAAATATGAGAAAATTATAAAATCAAGGAAATAATTCAGAAAATGAGGGCAAATAAAATTAGATAAACACAGAATGAACAAATATAAAACAGAGAAAGAAAGATAAGGAAAAAAAAAAGAAAGGAAAGTAAGGTAGGTATTGGTAGAAAATTGCATTTGTGATTGATGTTCCATATATCTGCATTGCTTTGTTTATATTACAGCTTGACGATTCACGGATAACCTACATTACAACTTCAGCCAACACAATCACCAATAAGCTCCACAGAGACACAATATTGTTCATTGAGTCTGCTACAGTGCAAAAGAATACAGACAATTACCAGCCATCTACAGCATTCTTCATAATTTCTGAGACACCAAAGGACATGGAGCCCATGAAGTCATTCCGCGATGTACGGTCCCAGTCCCAGACTTCCACAGAGAGACGTCTGTCTTCATCCCCTGACTTTAGAGAGCTTAGGAGGACAAAATTACAAACAAAATTATCACTCTACTAAACAGTAACAATGTTAGCTAAAAAAGAAATTGAAAGGGTATTTTCACTTTTAGAAAAGTTACACTCCCCTTTGCATCCCTAATACGCTAGACAGATGTAACCCCTTCTGCAATCAATTTCTAAGATGATACACAGACTAAAGCTATTATACATGCCAAGAATTTTCTCCTTCAACCCATGGGATGATCGAAAGAATATCAGTAGATTATTCCATCCACTCAAAACAGCATTGATCAAAGAATCTGTACTGTTGGCTACTGCATTCAAGCAGCAGCAGTATCCCCACCTACTTGAATACCAGTGACTGCATCTGATTGAATAACGTCACTTTTTGGCCAACACTTTTCCACCTGGGTTGATTCTTAGTCAAGTTTTGTTTGAGCCAGGTGCTGCTGACAGGGCCACCCACGACTAGAATTTAATTCATTTCAGTAGGAACTTAGATTAGATACTTTATTATTATTGTATTCAATACAAGAAAATTGTACATGGTAACACCTCTGACAACAGCAGCAAATACATGCATATACATATCCACAAACACATACATATGCACCAATATTGAACACCTATTAAATATAAACAATTGCCCATGCAAATAATGCAAATGTGTTAAAAGTAATGAAGTGTCTTATTAACACTCTGTTAAAACTTTGCATTAGTACTGCCTGGTTTTGAAGAAGGAGGTACACTGCAAAAGCTTGTCTTGAAAAATTGGAAGTTAGTGCAAATATTTCTGTCTCAAGTGCACTAATATGGCTACAATCACCTCATATAGAATTTAGGAAACACTGTCTTCCATTCTATGTAATTAAAATCTTCGGTCACAATCTCAACCCCCTCTGGATACGCATTCAGCTGGATGTTAATATCATCATGTGATTTCTCCAGAGTCAGCTTGGCATTTACATGTGGGGTATAGACACAGCAGTGATTATGATTGTAGTATACTCCCACATTATAAAAATAAGTGTTTATTTCACTATTATGTAGCAAATCCAGCAAGCAATGTGTCTCAAAAATATCAGTGGCTGTGTACCAGTCATTGTTTGTAAATTGTACAGGATGTTGGCGATGGGTCCTAGACTACAGGTATATTTCCCTATATATAGGGACCCGGAATTCAGAGGTTTGGAGAGACCCTTGGGGTTGGAAAGAACCTCCAAGAAGAACCTCCTGTCTGTGAGGGAGTGTGGAGTGGTTCATAGCTGTGAGAAAGTTAACTCTCTGGAGACTAAAGCCGGCCATGCACGGGTCGAATTCTGAAAGAATTTTCTTTCAAAAATCTTTTCTAAGAATTTTTGTTCGCATTTCGCACCATTAGTGGGCCAAAGCAACGGCTGATTTTCGAGTATCCATCGAATTTGAGTGATCAGGCATGTTGGAAATTTTTTGAAAATGAACAAATTTCTAATCAATGATGGAAGAATCGTGCAAGAAATGTAATTGAAAAAAGAAGTGAGCATGAGCTGTGACCTGGAAAGAAAAGAAATTTCTTGCATGAAAAATTTTTTCTGTAACAACATGAGGTGAAATGAAAGGCTTGGTTGGTCGAATTTCAAAATCAATGGTGGCACCATCGGATTACAAAACACATGAAATTTCTGATTTTCTAAAGAAAATTTGTTTGGAATTCGACCCATGTATGGCCTGCATAAGACAGTCTATGTGATACCCCTAAAGCAGACCCGAAATTCCAAACTCTATTGTGGGACTGGTATAGTGGCACTGAGCCATTCTCTTGTTTTTCATTATACCAGAGCTATAGACTACTTTGCATTTGTTTGACAAAGAAAGTTGTATTTTACTGGTTTTGTGCAAGTTCAGTAAAGACTGACACTTTTACAAGTGGCTGTAGCTGATCCTGAGTTCCCATATCACAATTTATACAGACTCCTCCAAACTCCAAGTCCTTTCTGCGAGTTTAAATAGCAGCTTGCTATCATGATACCCACCCTGATAATGAAGTGCAAGCCAAGTTTCTGTAATAAAAATCACACAACTGTTAATTTTGGGGGAGGTACTCCTAAACCTGACTTTGTAGATCTTGCTTGTAATTGGGAGTTTCTGATAAAAAGAGTTGGCAAAGCTGGCCTATGTGTGTACGTTTTTAACCTATGTTGAAGTATGGCTGTCTTACTCCACTTTTGCTTGCTATACCTATGTGGCCTTTGTTGCTTTTCTGGTGAGATGGTAATAATTCCAGTGGGCACCACTGAGTATAGGATCTCAAGTGGAATAACATTTGGGCTTTTTGGAGTATAAGGCCCCATGTACACGGGACACTTCTGAATGATGGAAACTGACTGCTGGAAAACGTAGGTTAAAAAAACGTCTGTTTAGCCGTGTTTGCATATGCGTGTTTATGCACATTTGTGTTTAGAAGCGTTTTTTAAAGATAAGCAGAGGAGAACATCCCAAATGCCCAGAATTCACTGAAAAGTGGTAGATTATTAATTATTTCAGACTGTTTCAGAGAAATACAGAGATTGGAAGCAGAGAGAGCAGTATGTGTTGAAGTTAGCTTAGGTGTGAGTTGCTCATTAACATTTCTTTTGTTTCCAAGGGTGGGAAGGGTGTCTGGTGGAGTGAGTCATTAGGGTCACCTGGCAGGGGGTCTTCATGAGATGTTGGAGGTATGAATGGTCATTAACATATCTTTTGTTTCCAAGGGTGGGAGAGGTCTGAGGTGTGAATTGGTCATTACAATGTGTGACAAGCTTGGTAGGAACATCCTGTTTTCAGTGTTTTGTCCATCTGAGTACCTTGAAAAAGCTGTGCATGCATTTTTCATGATGAAAAAAGGCTCTAGACAGCATCAGGAACTGGAAGAGTTAAAAAAAAGATTTCAGTTGCAAACGCTTATGCACGCGATTTGCCGCGTTTAGCCGCATTTACAAGCATTTTGTGTTTGAAACACTGATAAAATCGACTACTGAAGTTTTCTGCGTTCAAAAATGACTGTAAACTCAAATGCCTGTAATTGACTGTAAACGAAGATGTGTACATGGACACATAGGAGAATATTAGGGTGAGTTCAGGGGCTGCTGAAAAAAACCACTGAACAGCTCCTAAATGTGAGTTTATCAGCCCTAACTCGTATGTACATCTCCAGGGGCGGACTGACAACTCATGGGGCCCCCAGGCAATAGGGGATCATGGGGCCCCTGTGTCCTTGCCCAAACTCAAAAAAGCCTATGAAAAAGGTACCTGGGGCATCTCATGGGGCCCCCTACTGACCCCAGGGCCCTTGGGCAGTGCCCAAGTTTCCAAATGGTCAGTCCGCCCCTGTACATCTCTGATACTCAGCAATTCCTCATGACATTAACATACAATATATGTGCTCTAGCTGCTTATAACAGTATACTGATTGTCAATGAAAGCACAAAGCCACTGTGCCTGCAGAACTATAAAAAAAGCAGGGCATAGCCAAGCTTTAGTGTTGTCCTCACATGAGAATTGTATCACACTATATAATAAGTAGGATTTCTTATAACAATTTAGAAATGCTATCCACTTTCATATTTTTTTCCTAAAAGAATTACTAGAACACTGATACTGTATTGTACTGCACTGATACTGTACTGTATGCCCAGACACAGCAGAACATTTAATTGAATGGTCAACCCAAGTGGCTGTGTAGCTCATATGTGTACAAACTAAAATTAAACTGGTCTCTATAAGTTTCTTTACTGACCTTGCACAACCTCATTGCTCTTCACAACTCCAAATTAAATGAGCCTATTATAGTCTGTACACTTAAATGTTCTACTCCCCCACCTTTATTGCTCTTCACCATCTCTCTTATGTGTTGGAAAAGAGATGGAGAGACATACAAAGAGTTTAATGATTAATCCCTGCACAATAAAGAAGCCTTGTACCAATAGCAGGTTGAAAAGGAAGGAGTGAAAGGCATTAAAGCTGACTCTCAAAATTTGCTGAACAGGTCAAAACAAGTCAGACTGTAGCCAGTCAATGATTTTCAGTTAATTTTGTATGTGCTGTTGCCAATAAATAAAATGTAGCTTTCTTTCTCTCACTAACCTCTCCTAGGAAAATAGATCTTAGAATACAACCATTTTCTTTAAGGAATGACTTTCATTTCTGAAGTTTTCATAATTTGGTCTCAAAGCTCATTTGCTCCTGTGTGCCAGCTCATGCTTAACTACAATAGATCTACCATTATAATTCACACTTTACATAAGTCGACCATGTATTGTGTATCTTTTTGAGAACACAAATACATCTTTTTTGCTATGAATAAAGATGTATATTCCTAAACCCCTTGATGTCACCTAAAGCTTAAAGTGTTACTAAACCCACAAGAGTAAAATCAGTCTGTATATGCAGTAAAACATGCTTGTTATGCTCACTGTGGAACCTAAGGGGTTAATCCTCTGCACTGTGTATAAAAGGCCATTTGATACGGTCTTCTCTGCTCCTCCACTTGTTCAAATGTCCATGTCTTATCTCCTGATAAGACAGACTGAACTGTACCCATACTTCACATGCTCAGTTTAGTGTGTATTGCTAGAGAGGTTTTTTGTTTTTTTTTGGGAGCGTGCATGTGATCAGCACAGGGCCAATCAGCACTGTCCAGACAGAGGTCAGTGGTTTTGCATCCTCCTAGAGCAGAAAGAAAACTCCTCCTACAAGCTGTAAACAGTGCTCTGCTGAACACTGATAGAAGTCACAAGACTGCTCTAACTGCTGATGAGAAAAGGCATTTAGCAGTTTATATTTACTAAAATGATTGCACTTCCATGTTCTGTGTACTGTGGGAGACTGTATATAGTGGATGCAGGGTCCTGGGTTTAGTAACACTTTAAGAAAAATATTACATGCATTTTGGCTACCAGGAGCACTGTGGATATTTCAATTAATTAGAGACTTGAGAGAGTCTGTTTTTTTTCCAATCAAATAGGCCCTGTCTGACAGGTGTGCAGTGAGGGAAGATGATCAACAAGGCAAAATCAAACTTAGCAGGAAGAAAAGTTTACATAAACCATAAAATTTACAAATATTGTATGTCTGCATTCCATGTACAAATATATTTACAAATTAGCAACAACCTTTTTAAGAAATTATCAAACATGAATGAGAGTATTGGTATTCAGTTGATTGCTTTAATATATACTAAAAGCGTTAAAAGGAGTATCATCCCCTTTAATGTTAAAAGAGAAGAACAGCTTACTTACAATATAAAGGCTTCATTCCATATTGGGTTAAGCGTAGACTTGACAGTCCTGGTTTTTCTGTTTACTCAGGTTCTTTGGGTCTGGTATGAGCTTTAGCTTCACATATGGGTCTGACAACCCATTGGGATCCATAGGAATAAGATTCCGAGCTTCACAAACTTGAGATATCAAATAAAAAGGAAAGAAAATAATTGCACATGTTCATGTTTTCTGAACGTTTCAATTAACAGATTCAATTTAATTTAGAAAAAGAACTAAAGGACAACCCCATCCAAGACAAATCATTTGGATAAGGATTAAGTATTAACAGAGATTTTTCAAAATGCAGTGTGCTTCCATAGCTATTTGCTTTATTCTTTCTACTGAATTATTTTTTTATCTAAAAAGTGAGAGAGTAGAGGTTACAAAACAACTAAAAAAATATTGAAGCCACCTAATAGAACAAATTAACTTGTGCTACCTACTTTCCAGATCCTTTGTATCTCATTATTGAAGCCCTATAAATGTGTGTGTCCACTCCTGTACTAAATCATACAGAAAGCACACATTTCACATGGTCTTGATGAATCATGCATGAATTTTTGTGGAAAGCTGAGCAAAATTTCACTTGCCACACCCAGGCCTGATTACTGCTAGACCTGTTGAATGAGGAAATCACTTAAATAGAAGCTGTCTGATAATGTGAAGCATGCTAAAGATCTCAAAAAACAATACATCATGCTTCGAGCTGAAGAAATTTAAGAACAGATGAGAAACAAAGTAATTGATATGTATCAGTCTGGAAAAGATTACAAAGCCATTTCTAAGGCTTTAAGACTCCAGTGAACCATGGTGAGAGCCATCATCCACATATGGAGAAAACTTGGAACAATGGTAAACCTTTCCAGGAGTGGCCGGTCTACCAAAATTACTCCAAGAGCACAAAGACGATTCATCCAGGAGGTCATAAAAGAACTCACAACAACATCTAAAGAACTGCAGGCCTCACTTGCCTCAGTTAAGATCAATGTTAATGATTCAACAATTAAAGATTGAGCAAAAATGGTATTCATGGGAGAGTTCCAAGGCAAAGCCACTGCTGTCCAAAAAGGCTCTTCTCACTTTTGCGAAAAAACATCCCCAAGACTTCTGGGCTAATATTCTGTGGACTGATGAGACAAAAGTTGAACTTTTTAGGAGGTGTGCATTCCATTACATCTGGCGTAAACTTAACACAGTATTTTATAAAAAGGTCATACCAACAGTCAAACATGGTTGTGGTAGTGTGATGGTTTGGGGCTACTTTGCAGAATGTGGATGACTTGCCATAATTGATTGAACAATGCATTAGGGCTCTACCAGAAAATCCTGAAGGAGAATATCTGGCCTTCAGTTTGTGACCTCAAGATTAAGCACACTTGGGTTATGTAGCAGGGGGTTTAGGGAGCAATTCCCTTAATCAATTAAATAATCATCTAAAAACTTCATTTTGAATTTACTTGGGTTGTCTTTGTGTAACATTAAAATTTGTTTGATGGTCCGAATCATTTAAGTGTGAATTCTACGGAAAAAAAATGGGGCAAATACTTTTTCAGAGCACTTCAATAGTATTTTCCTGTTTGTCACACACCATACAGACTAAATCAATCCTAGGTACTGAAGTGAATAGTAACTGGGAAACAGGAACTTTCACAAGCTGGCAAATGCGGGAAAGCATCATAGGGCTTTTTCATGGATTCTGTTGTAGTATTTCCAAAATTATAATAGAATTATCATCAAAATGCCAGCACTCAAAAACAAGTCCTTCAAGTTCTGCAATTTGTTTAAATAAATAATCAACTGAAGTACAAAAACCACAAAAAATCCAGCTTACATGTTTAGGTCAATCTCAGCCTACAGTAAGTCCTGGCTATGACTTATGCTAAGATCGGGTAAAAAGAATAACCTGGAGTTTCTATGCTATTTTGTTCTTCATGTTCTGAGAAATATTTAAAGGATTAACGTAAGCTGGCTTGTTGATGCCAACTGAAGTTACACCAAGGGAGGTATTGCCAAGCTCTCAATCAAACCAGCATTGAGGGTACTAGTGGAGGCCTCCTTCTAAATTATAATTATGCTATTTTATCATAGCTATAAAGTCCAAGGAGAAAAGAGAAAGCACAGCATTACTTGTAACCCAACTGCTTGTTTGAAGTGAACACTGACTTGCTATACTACATATGTTAAAATGGAGATGAATCAGGTGACCCGGTAGACCAGTAAAATTTCTCAGTTGTGCCTATTGCTGCATGTGAAAATAAAACTATGGCCTTGCATGGATTCTGCAGCACTTAATTATATAGGTGACCTGGTGGACAAAAAAAATGACTCGGTTGTGCCTATTGCTGCACATTAAAGTAGAACTTTGGCCTCACATAGATTCTGAAGCACCTAATTATACAGGCATCTGTACTTACTGTTATTTCTCAGTTCTCCTGCAATGTCCCACAAATACCTGTTGAGCTTATCAGTGAAGTCCACCTTATGCAGCTTCCTGTGAGGATGTGATGAATATGCTGTACTGCTCCTGTATTCAGAAGAGAATTTCCACTCTCATATAGGCCTGTCAATCAGTACCAGCCCTGGCCACTGTTTTCTGGATTGAGAGCACTGCCTTTGCTGCTAAATTCCTCCCACAGTGAGCTGCAGTGTCTGGGAGGGAGAACATGTTACACACAAATGAAGGACTTGGCTCAGTAAAGGAAGATTTACCTACTCTATGAGACTTGTGCAGTATATAGTAACTGGATTTGGTACCAATTTAGACTGTAATAACGAAGCCTTTACTCTGATGGTATCCAAACTGAGCCTTTTTTGCACTTTAAGCCTGCACTATGAGGCAGGGAAGTTTTTTTACTTAGATCAATAGCAACTAGACAATAAAAAAAAGGTTGAGTTCCTATATGATGAGCTTTTCTTCCCCTCAAGTCAATGCTTCAGAAGTAGCCAATTTATGGTGTTCTGTATCCATTTTAAATATTGGAATATGATGTTCTACCAACTAGAAGAATTGCTCTTGCTATCAGGTTTATTGTATTGTGAAGCACTTGTGCCTATGAAAGTTTTATTTTAATAACAATGATATCAATGTTCACATTTTGCACTGTAAAGAAATGTAGCTTCCCTCCTGTGTTTGGTAATGATTAGATCAGCAGCAAGCAGAACCTTCTCTAAATAGTGTATGAACATCAGATTAGAAAAAAGTAAAAAAAAAAACTTAATAGTGTCTGATCATTCAATGGTCTGCATTACAGCTTGGAGACATTTGCACCTTTTAATCTCTTTGATAAAATAGGGAGAATACAGTCAAAGGCTTATTGTGCAACACATCATACTGTTCTTTTCTCTTATTTTAAGCATTGGTTAGGGAGATGGTGGTTCATTTAAGGGATAAGAATTAAGTCAAAGGGTGACTCCACTTTCACAAAAAAATAGAAAAAATAATATTGCTTATACAATTGCTAAAGAAGCCATATTGTAATTTAATGTTATTTGTACAGGACACAAGGAATGTGTCCTGGATGGCAGGTATATTTCCACATTATTAAGGTTGTGGTTTCTTTAAGGGGGACATTAAGAGATGTTTTGATTATTCAGGGGTTCTCACCCCCATGCAGGGTAAGGGGTTCTGGGGTAGTCTGGTAGGAGGGGACTGATTTTCAGTACTCTCTGGATTGCTGAGTCCTCATTTTGGACCTGGAATTCGGAGTATCAGAGAGACTTTGGGTAGTAAAGAGCCCCCAAACTCTGTTTACTAGGATTTTGGTCCTCAAAGAGTTAACCCACCTACAGGGGAGGCTTGAAAATGGGCAGGAAGGAGTCAGCACCCGTCTGTAAGGTGAGTGGAGTAGTAGTTTACAACTAGGAGAAAATGTGGACTGTCTGGCAACTGATACCTATTTTACTGAGCTACTGTGGTTTTTCCTGTACTCTGAATGGAAACCTTAATCCAGATGTGGGACTGGTATACATGCGGTGAGTCGTAATATTGTTACTACCATAACCTACCACCAAAGAAAAACTCAACATAAATTCTCCTGCTCCTAATGATTTTTTTAATCCTGCCCAAAAAAAAATACTGAACCTGACCTTTGACCCTGACCATGACCCAAACAATAACCCTGGCACTGACCTAGATCAAACCTTGATCTAACCTTGATCTAGGATTTTAACCTCTTGACCCCGGCCAAACGCAAATGTGCGACCTCCTGGCGTCTGGTCCTAGACGCCGAGCGGCCGCACATTTGCATTCTATTAAAAAAACACATATGAGCGCGCGCCCTGCGCGCTCCCAGCACACACGTTCGTTACTCATGGAAAGTTCCCGATCTCCTCTTGCGATCGGGACCTTTCCCGATCATGTGACCGCTGTGACAGCGAATCACGGAGGTCACATGACCCTAAAGGGTGTTAGAGTGAAAGGTGTTAGAGTTTTAGGGTAGGAGATTGCTGGGGGGATGAGTGCTAACATGGAAATTCCGTTTTTTTTATCTGATTAAAAAAGTCTCAACTGTGCTGTGTTGCGTTTTAAATTAATTGATATAATGTACCATCTCTCTGCTTATACAGTATATACAAATAAAATCCTTCACTGTGTTCCTCAGAAAAGGGTAAAGAACCTACTTTGCATAGTCCATGGGTACAGCCACACTTAGACCAACACAAGCAAATCAGTTACTTTTGTAGCTTTGAGTCTTGAGTAGAAGTTCAATGTACAAAGTTAACACAATAGGATAAGATACTTATTTTCAAAAAAGTGAAAGTTATTTTCATCTAAGGCCAACAGAAATTGCAAATTACAGTCATGTGGTTAAAATAGAAGTGCTTTGTGAATTGCGCCTTATAAAAGAACTCTGGGATAGGTAAAAATCACTCATTAGTACACCCCCTACTAGGGCTTTTTTTCTCAAAGGATAGGTGCAGGTACTCCCACCTTCCGAGTAAACCCTTATCTCCATCCCCTATCCATCTTCAAGCAAGATCCTTTGCAGCCAGCAATAATAGACCCACCAGCAACAATAGATCTCCACCAGCATCAAAAGACCCCCAGAAATAATAGATCACCCTAGCAAAAATAGCCCCTCAGTACCAATAGATCCCCCAAGCAGCACTAGCCCCCCTATGTAACAATACAATAGATCTCCTAGCAGCCAGCTACAATAGACCCTCAATAGTAGATCCCTCCCAGCAACTATTGACCCCTAGCAACATAAGATTTCTCCTGCAAAAATATATTCCCCACCAGCAACAATAGACCTCTCTAGTAACAAATGATTCCCAAGTTACAAAAGATCCCCCAATAGCCAGCATCAATATACCCTCCAGCACCCCATTCAGTGCTGGAGGTGGGGGAACTGTGTTCCCCATGTTCCTGCTGGAAAGAACCCCCACCCCCTACACAAAACACTAAACAGTTAATACGATTTTTTAAATCCTTACCATTTAGGAGAAAAGTTTAATTGAATTTTCATGACCTCATCTCTGTAATTCAAAAGATAACAGCATCTGCTCTGCCAAGGAGGAGGTGTAACAGTATGGATTACATCATATCCTCTGCTCTCTCTGCAGAAAAAGGAAACTATAGTTCCCATTGAACATAGCCGATAGACCATAGCACTGAATGGGGTGCTGGAGGGTTTATTGATGCTGGCTACTGCGGGATCTTTTGTAACTTGAGAATCATTTGTTGCTGGAGAGGTCTATTGTTGCTGGTGGGGGATATATTTTTGCTACAGTGAATGTAGGTACACTAGGCCTGTACATGTTGAATGTATCTAAGAGTCTCGATCCACCCACCCCTGCAAGTGGGGTTAAATTACATCACTGCTTCCTAGAGGAAGAACTACAGAAGGGATGTGCCAAAACCAGTGGCTGGGGGAATAGGAGGCATAACAATCACTGGTCTTACAAACAGGAAACCAAAGAGAATTGACTGTTTGATTTGACAACGAATAGGCTATTTCAGAGCAACTACTGAGTGAACCAGAAGATGGATGACATATTCAGTGAAGGTAAGAAATCAGCAACAAGGACATGTAAAGACGTTTTTGCCCGAAGTTCTGCTTTAAGTGATAATCCTATCAAAGGCCACACAGCAAAGATAAAAAATACAAATATGGATTTAAGTTTAGTGCCATTTATGCATAGTGATTTGTTTTTTTAATAGGAATATCGCCAGATTTTATGAGCAGAAGCGCAAGCTCTCTCTGTCAACTTTTACACTTTATATATTGATCTACAGAATGAAGAATGCAGAATAATCTACATTCATGCAATAGCACGGTTGCATTGCTCAGCTCAGAAGACAGCTTGAATACTGTTTTTATGCGTGCACACATCAGGAGAGAGAAATCCAAGTTTAGCATAAAGGTTATTTTTAACTATGGCTTGTTGCTAAGGGGTATCACTTCTGTTAGGTGTTAGATTGAAGTTCGATGATCCACATTCTCCACTGGGTGGCAACAGAGACAAACAAGTGCACATTAAAGCCTATCTGAAGCTGAACGGAATGGGTCTAAAACAATTAAACAGTTAGCCATGCATCTCAAGCTGTAACATAGCTGCCAAATCTCATTAATTTCCAGGCAAGGCATCAGCATTTTGGAGATCAGAACATTCTTGTCTATGCAAATAAAACTGCTTTTTAAATACTGACAATTGTCTGTATAACACTGAAACCCAGTTGTAGAGTGTTGTTCTTTATATTGGCTTTAAGGTTTTCCTTTGGAGATTACAACAGTATAGGATAATTAAAAAAAATATTTTAGAGTTTTTTAATACACCATTGTAAGTATGCGATTATATACATACTGTTTTGCTATTTTTCTGTCACCTGATCTGTATAATAAACTCCAGATTGATTGGTCATTTAATCGGATGGAATAAACAAGCAGAGAATAAAATTCCATAATAGGTGTATCGAAAAGAGTCCATGGATGTTGGAGGCCAGTCAGATATACCTGCACATACTTCTTTCATGCATGTGTGCACACATCTTCATCTATTCACCGGCTTCAAATAAAAACATGTATTTCTTATACAGTAGCTGTAGGCAGGGTATTGGCACTGATGTGCTCAGTGTAGTTCTCTTTCTGGCCACAAGGTGGCACTAGAGGACCCCTTGGATTGAAAGGCAATGTACATGCTGTAGCAGCCACTAGAGGTCCCCATATAAAAGTATTTTAACCTCTTCCATACCGGGCACTTCTACCCCCTTCTTGCCCAGGCCAATTTCCAGCTTTCAGCACTCTCACATTTGTGACAGATAGAGCTTTCTTTTGGTGGTATTTAATCACCTTGGGGTTTTTTTATTTTTTTTCTTAAACAAACCAAAAACCACTGAAAATTAAAAAAAAAAAATGTTTTTTCTTAGTTTTTGTTATACAATTTTGTAAATAAGTGATTTTTCTCCTTCGTTAATGAGGCTGCAGTGGTGGGCACTGATAGGCTGCACTGATGGACACTGATAGGTGGCACTGATGAGCACTGATGAGGTGGCACTGATAGGCATTGACAGGCATCACTGATGGGCACTGAAAGGCAGCACTGATACATGGCACTGATAGGCAGCACTGATAGGCAGCACTGATAGGCGGCACTGACTGGCACTGATAGGCGGCACTGACAGGCACGGATAGGCAGCACTGATGCGCACTGATAGGCGGCACTGACTGGCACTGATTGGCAGCACTGATAGGTGGCACTGATTGGCATTGATAGATGGCACTGACTGGCACTGATGGGTGACACTGAAAGGCAGCTCATATGGGCACTGATATGTAGCATTGATGTGCACTGGTAGACACTGATATGTGGCATTGATGTGGCACTGATGGGCACTGGCACAAGGCACTGATGAGCACTGAGAGCTGGCACTGATGGACACTGACAGGTGGCGCTGCTGGGTCTACACTGATCATCAGGGCACACTGATCATCAGTGCCCTGATGATCAGTGTATATGTCCCCTCCGCGGAAAGCCGATTACCGGCTCTCCTCTCCTCTGTCAGCGTGACAGCTCGAAAGGAGAGAAATGCCGATAACCGGCATTTCCCTGTTTACATGTGATCAGCTGATCACATGACCGAGCTGACACCTTCGGCTCTTTCCGTGATCGGTGATCCACTGTGCCCGAGGGACACAGCGCACCGCCAATCGCCGCGCTGTGCGCTCCCTGAGCCGCGCATGTGCGGTGAGAATGGGAGGATGTCATATGACGTCCTCCCAGAATGAGAGAACCACCTTGCGCCCGTCATTGGACTATATGGCGGGCGGGAGGAGGTTAATTGTAGGGGTCACTTGGAGTTAATGTCTTACAGGGGTAGGGCAAGGGTGCTCAACCTTTTGAAGAGCGGGGGCCTTTTAAGTGACTTAGTAACCAGCCATGGGCTGAAATGAAATGGTTCAGAAGTTCCCATTCTTTATTTTGAATAGCATAATGAACATTTTCCTCTTGCTGCCACTAAATGTTGGCGGGAGGAAGAGGAGGAGAAGCCATCTTACAGCAGTTGCAGGAGGAAAATGTGACAGGGAGGCCACACAGGCCCTGGAGCATGGGGTAGGGGTGCCTTTGTGACCCTTGGTGCTACATCAGTTGTTGGGAGTGTGTGGCTTGATTTAATTACAGCAAAAACACATCCCAACTATATAGTTTTACTGCCCCCCCCCCCCACACAAACCACAAATGTAAAATGAGCCCTGCTGCCCTGAGCCCCCTATAAGGCTGCTTTAACACTGATGCGCTGCACTTGGGCCACAAGTTGAGCACACCTGGTGTGGGGGTATGGGCACTCACACATGCCCAGTGTAGTTTCCCTTCTGCTGCAACTTCATCCAAAACGGTATGTGATCTGACTTGGCTTAGGGTTGTTAACCATTTGGATGTAAAGGATGTGCCTACTGACAAATAACTGCAATTGTATACTTTTATATATAAGATTGAACGTAGTAATTCCAGTCCAAAAGGTCTTGATTTAATTACAGTTTAGTATACACATTTTATATAAATCTGAATAAAGGTTATATTTTAGATTCATCAATTGGCCAATTGGTGCGTAGGGACATGCACCCTCATCTGGTATAGATTTAGTTTCCCTTCTGGCCACATACTTCTTTCATGCATGTGTGCACACATTTTCATCTATTCACTCTCTCCAAATAAAATGAACATGTATTTATAATAGCTGTAGACAGGGTATGGGCACTAATGTGCTTGATGTAGTTCTCCTTCTGGCCACAAGATGGCACCGGAGGACCCCTTGGTTTGAATGGCAGTGTAGGTGCTGTAGGAGCCACTAGAGGTCCCCATATACAGTATCTCACAGAAGTGAGTACACCCCTCACATTTTTGTAAATATTTTATGATATCTTTCATGTGACAACACTGAAGAAATGACACTTTGCTACAATGTAAAGCAGTGAGTGTACAGCTTGTATAACAGTGTAAATTTGCTGTCCCCTCAAAATAACTGAACATACAGCCATTAATGTCTAAGCCACTGGCAACAAAAGTGAGTACACCCCTAAGTGAAAATGTCCAAATTGGGCCCAAAGTGTCAATATTTTGTGTGGCCACCATTATTTTCCAGCACTGCCTTAACCATCCTGGGCATGGAGTTCACCAGAGCTTCACGGGTTACCACTGGAGTCCTCTTTCACTCCTCCATGACGACATCACAGAGCTGGTGGAAGTTAGAGACCTTGCTCTCCTCCACCTTCCGTTTGAGGATGCCCCACAGATGCTCAATAGGGTTTAGGTCTGGAGACATGCTTGGCCAGTCCATCACCTTTACCCGCAGCTTCTTTAGCAAGGCAGTGGTGGTCTTGGAGATGTATTTGGGGTCGTTATCATGTTGGAATACTGCCCTGCAACCCAGTCTCTGAAGGGAGGGGATCATGCTCTGCTTCAGTATGTCACAGTACATGTTGGCATTCAAGTTTCCCTCAATGAACTGTAGCTCCCCAGTGGTGGCAGCACTCATGCAGCCCCAGACCATGACACTCTCACCACCATGCTTGACTGTAGGCAAGACACACTTGTCTTTGTACTCCTCACCTGGTTGCCACCACACACGCTTGACACCATCTGAACCAAGATAAGTTTATCTTGGACTCATCAGACCACAGGACATGGTTCCAGTAATCCATGTCCTTAGTCTGCTTGTCTTCAGCAAACTGTTTGCTTTCTTGTGCATCATCTTTAGAAAAGCCTTCCTTCTGGGACGACAGCCATGCAGACCAATTTGATGCAGTGTGCGGTGTATGGTCTGAGCACCGACAGGCTGACCCCCCACCCCTTCAACCTCTGCAGCAATGCTGGCAGCACTCATACAGTTTGTCTATTTCCCAAAGATAGCCTCTGGATATGATGCTGAGCACATGCACTCAACTTCTTTGGTGGACCGTGGTGAGGCTTGTTCTGAGTGGAACCTGTCCTGTTAAACCGCTGTATGGTCTTGGCCACTGTGCCGCAGCTCAGTTTCAGGGTCTTGGAAATATTCTTATAGCCTAGGCCATCTTTATGTAGAGCAACAATTCTTTTTTCAGATCCTCAGAGAGTTCTTTGCCATGAGGTGCCATGTTGAACTTCCAGTGACCAGTATGAGAGAGTGAGAGCGATAACACAATTTTAACACACCTGCTCCTCATTTACACCTGAGACCTTGTAACACGAATGAGTCACATGACACCGGGGAGGGAAAATAACTATTTGGGCCCAATTTGGACATTTTCACTTAGGGGTGTACTCACTTTTGTTTAGACATTAATGGCTGTGTTGAATTATTTGGAGGGGACAGCAAATTTACACTGTTATACAAACTGTACACTCACTACTTTACAGTACATTGTAGCAAAGTGTCATTCTTCAGTGTTGTCACATAAAAAGATACAATAAAATATTTACAAAAATGTGAGGGGTGTACACACTTCTGTGGGATACTGTATAAGATTCATTTGAGTGTAAGGGTCACTTGGCGTTAATGCCACTGCTATGCCTGCCAGCAGTGGGACACCTTGGGCAGAGGGCTAGAATATAAATAGTTTTGATGGGAAACCACAAAGAGAGGTTGCCTATGGAAAGTTGTAACTGGGATCATGCTGCACCAATACGTAGGACCTGCAGTTTATCCACTGGTCTTCCCCTTGGGGAGGAAGGGAGAGCCAGTAGCAACATTTAGGGCTTTCTGTATTACTTGCACCCCCTCTCTAGGAATGCAAAACTCATGTAAAAGAATGAGCTACTCCTCAAATTACTCTATCTATTCCAATATATAATGATTCTTTGTACAAATGCTTGTGCACCTGGGCCCTAGTTAACTGAAACATGGAAATGTGGAACTGATTGATCAAGTAAAGCATTGAAATAGTTTTCTGTTTCAGGGCTTCTTATTCTCCTAACGTCTATTGGGAATGTCACCAGGTAAAAGGCTTTTGTCAGTGCTGGACTGCTATGGGACTCTTTGCTGTAAGGCCTCTAATAGGTATGTAGAAACAGAGCTGAAGAATACTGGTCAGGCCAGGCCCAGTGTCTCTAAAAGGATGAGCTCTTGCAGAGGGGTGAGCCATAGCACAAGTCAAAGTCCCCAGGTTCCCCATGAAGCCCTGTGCCCAAAGGATTTCAGTTTGCTTAGAGGAACTACTCCCATGCCCTGGCATAGATTGGTTAAAGAGTACATGTGGTGATCATTCAGCCCAACACATGGCACCCCCTTCGCTGTTACATCATCAAACTCATAATAAAAAACAACACTTTGACCAGTATTCGTCAAAATATTGCAGAACTCAATTTTTCAAATCAAATCAGAAAACCTCTCAAGATAGATTGACCAGAGGTGTCTGGTGCTTTACACTCTCTGAACTAGCCTCCCACCTTCTTCCTTTGTTCTTCAGATACTTGTAGGTGGGGCCTAATCAGTGTACCTGAAAATTGTGAAGAATAACCACACGTTATTTGAACATTTTTTATATTGTAGAAAATAAAAAGGGTCAAAACGAGACAGTTATAGCAATGGTATTACCATAGGTGTGTTCCCATCGATGTACTCCCTTACATAAGAGGTCCCCATCGGAGTGCCCCTTACATCAGGTGCTGCTATCAGAGTATCTCATTACATCAGGTGCCCCCATCAGAGTAACCCCGTAGGTCAGGAACACCAATCAGAATACCTTCATATATTAGTTGCCCTCATCAGAATACTCCTTTATGTCAGCTGCCCCCATCAGAGTGCCCCCAAACATCAACTTCCCCCATCAGAGTTCCCCCTTACATCAAAATCCCCCATCAGAGTCTCCCTCACATCAAATTCCCCCATCAGAACCTCCTTATATTAGAGTACCCCATCAAAGCCCCCCTTACATCAGATTCCCTATCAGAATCCCCATTACATCAGAGTCCTTCATCAGAGCCCCCCTTTACATCAGATTTCCCCATCAGAAGCCCCTTACATCAGATTACCCCATCAGAGTGCCCCCCTTACTTCAGATTCCCCCATCAAAGCCCCACCCCTTACATCAGATTCCCCCATCAGAGCCCTCCTTACATCAAATTCCCTCATCAGAGCCCTCTTACATCAGATTTCCCATTAAAGTCCCCTCTTTACTTCAAATTCCCCCATCAAAGACCCTCTTACAACAATTTCACCTATCAGAGCCCCCCTTGCATCACATTCCCCCATCAGAGCCCCCCTTACATCAGTGTCCCCCTTACATCAGAGTCCCCCCTTACTTTTGTTGCCCCATCAGAGCCCCCCTTACATCAGATTCCCCCATCAGCGGCCTCCTTATATCAGAGTCCCCCATCAGACCCTGCCCCCCACATTAGAGCCCACCCTCTTACATCAGATGCTCCCATTAGAGCCCCCCTTACATTATATTTCCCCAATAGAGCTGCCCTTATAT